ATAAATAATCATATAACAGATTAAGAAAAACTACAAGTTGAAAGGTCAGAGAGACCGTAACCCATGCAAGGACAATGAATACTGCCACAAAGAAGTTTATTTGGTGCAGGGGAGGGGTCGTCTTGTGGACAGAGAGGACCAGGCAGGGAAGGAGTCATGGGCTTACAAGCCTGAAAACCACAGTGGTAGGGAGTGGTGTGCAGGCCAGAACAGCCACTCAGGAAGGCAGAAGGGTACATTTAGGGGTGGAGTTGTGAATCCCAGGAACACTGTCAGTCTCCTGCAGTTAGTGCAGTTTGCAAGTGTCATTGTGGTTGGTGCTGTCCTTGCAAAAATCTGCAGGCGTGGTTGGGCTGCATCTTTGGATTCCCTCCTCGCTGTGCTACAGAGTCCACTGTTCCCTCACAAGTCAGAAATTATAATTAAAAACTTGGTGGATAATGGACTAACCTTTTGGTTTGAAATTAAAATGTAACGACTTGGTGGATAAGGGACAGGATCGCTGCTGGAAGAGGGAAACAGCGACCTGGAATGATGAGGCAAGCAGGTCTAGGTACACTCCATCTATCAATGGCACCTGGACACTGGAGTTTCTCTATAAAGCTCTTGTATTTCAAACCTATTGATACCACAGTAGAACCAGAACAAGAAGTTAGTAGAAGTTCTGGTGAGCTACTATACACAGTAAAAAATCACAAAACATCATAAGGCACTATATATTTTTAAAAAGCTAGAAGGCTTTAGAATGTTCTTATCACTTGCTCTGATTTGAGTGTTATGTAATGTATAAATGTGTTTAAACATTATATGTTATGCCCTAAATATATGCAATTTGATGTGCCAATGAAAAATAATTTATACAGCTTAAAAAACATTTAGAGCCCACCCTCTTGGTAAGCAGCCCTGGTGCCAGCTGGGAGCAGAACCAGTCAGCTGTTCCCCTGAGTTTACCGGCTCTCTGGCTGAGAATCAAACAGCAACTGGGGACAGAGTTCTGAGTATCTCTTGGGAGGATGACCATATGCAATATAGCAAATATGGGGGCTTTCTTTCTATCTTCTGTTTAAAGGCAAAGGTTATTTTCACTGTTACGTTTTGTAATGATTGTTTTGCTCTATTCAATATTCTACTTCAATTAGTTTTACAATGTTCTGTTATTGGTTTGATTTTGCTGTACCTAACTGACTGGACAACTATTGTGAAGATAACAAAATATACCACAGTACCTATTACTACCATCCCAGTATCCTACTGTGAAGTTCTGTACCAATGTCACTGCATTGTCTCGATTGGCTTTGTTCTGTCTTGCTCTGTTGTATTTTTACTACTTTCAAAATAAATTTTTTTAAAAGCATTGAGAAATGTTTGATTTCTAATGCATATGTGGAGCTATTGATATTTGGGACATGCACCTTGAAGTAAAGCACGTGGTGGTTGTAGAGATATTATGGTTTTGGTCTAAGATTCCCCTCTGAAAGCTCATGTGCTTAGTGGTAGATTTGTGGAAATAGTTGGATCATGAGATCTCTAACTTTTATCAGTGGCTTAACCTGTTGGTGGATTTAAAATTTAATAACACTATTTTGGACTGATGAAGACTTAGCAGACGGGGGCCTAGCTGAATGGAGCAGGTCATGGGGGTATGACCTCGGGGACTATATCTTGTCCCTAGCCCTTTCTCATTTTCTGCTCCTGACTGCCATAAGGTGAATAGCTTTGCTCCACTACACCCTGGCACCATGATTTTCTGCCTCACCAGAGGTGCACAGCAATGGAGCCATCCAACCATGGATGGAAACCTCTGAAACCATGAGCCTGAATAAATATTTCCTTCTTTCAATTCTTTTCCCAGGATTGTCACAAATTCAAGGCCAGTCAAGGATACTAATGAATTCAATGCTATCCTGAATTACATAGTAAGGTCCTGTCTCAAAGCCCAAAAAAAGAGATATAGATGAACCCACTCCAGTAGCAGGAAATCTTGAGCTGGAAACCCTTCTTTGGAGACTGCTATTACAGTTGAAAAGTCATGTGCTGTGAAGCACTCCCAAGATCCAGCCATGGTGGGACTTAGGCAGCTTATTCTTCTGCCCTCTTGGTAAGTGCCCCTGGCTTGGGCCAGGAGGAGAACCAGTGGCTCCTGTGAGCCTACCAGTGCTGAGAATCAGACACACACACACACACACACACACACACACACACACACACACACACCATAGCAACTGAGGATAGATGTCTCAGCATCTCTTGGGTGGATGACCATATGCAATATAGCAAATATGGGGGATTTCCTTTTATCTTCTGTTTCAAGGCAAAGGTTGTTTTCAATGTTTTGTTATGTTTCTTTTGCTCTATTCAATACTCCTAATTGGTTTTATAATTTTCTGGTTTTAGTTTGATTGCACTATACCTAATGGACTGGACAACTATTGTGAAGATAACAAGACACACCATATTACCTATTACTACCATCCCAGTATTCTACTGTGATGTTCTGTACCAATGTCACTGCATTGTTGTCTCGACTGGTTTTGCTCTGTCATGCTCTGTTGTATTTTTACTACTTTCAAAATAAAAATTTTTTAAAAAGTCATGTGCTGTGTCATGTGAAGTTACTCCTTCCAATTTACAAAAGCATGATATCAATATAATGGGAAGCTCTTACAATGAGGATGAAAATAATTTGACTGCAGAAACACTGGTGGAAATTCAGAAATCAGTTTCTGAATCTGTAAGTCATTCTCATGCATGCATAAATCACAGGCAGCCATTAATTACTAACATGGGGAATGTAACATTAAAGGAAACATTTTATATACAATATAACCCATAGCAAAGTCTTTCTGAAACTAACAATTTGACTATGAGTGAATCAAGGAAAAGTGCTGGCACTATACTAGTAAAGATGTAAAGGTAATTTCCTCACTGCAGCAGACTCAACACTATGGTAGAGACGCAAGTATAAAATGTTACTTAACTCACGACTGTCCAGCTTCCTGCCTGAAGAGAGTTTCCCAGCTACAGACAGCAGATCTCAAAGAAAGCCTGGCAGTGTCTCTGGGTTCATGAAAACAGAACTGAGAATTCAGGCAGGCCATGGGAACTAGATTTGTAGGACAGAGTACCACAGAGGAGAGCTGTGCAGAGAGTTCTGGACTCCCCTGAGTCTTTGTCTGTATATGATTGAGGACGTGCATATTTAAAAAAGCAGCAGCAGGTAGACCAATTTCTGAGCTTGCACGGGTATGGGAATGATTCACCTTATCAACTGCCAGAGTAAACAAACTTTTTGATATAGGTAACATGATGTACTGTAGGGAGAGAAGGATGACAGAGAGGCACAAAGAAACTAATGCAGGTGATAGTTCATTCTCTTGATTGTAGTGATGAGTTCACTGGTGAATACACATACTAAAGCTCATCAAATTACATACTAGGTATAATGTATTACATTCAATTATGTGTTAATGATAATCATTACATCATTTCCACTTTTCTCAAGGGAATTGTATTGAGTAGGTTTGTGTCAGGGTCAAGTGTGTGCCTCAGAATCTTTGTTGAAGGCCATGTGAATTCACGTGTGTAAATGTGTTTGGCAGACTTTGAAATCATAAACAATTACTAGTTTATATTATGTCACAGTATATTTTGATTACTTTTAAATTTAAGATTTAACTGCTCTTTGGGAGGATTGGTGATACCCCAGCATCATTTTTATCATAAGTGAAAGTTTCTCATCAGAACAAGCCTGCTAGAACTCTCCTTGGCCTATGGCAAAAAATGTTGTTGTATTATGTTGTTTTTTCAAGATCATTTTAAAGTAGCTACAGTTGTGCAAGATAAATATCCCATAAGTGAAACAATCTCTAGCCTAAGTCCAGACTAAGGGACAAGAAGTTATTTCTTTCAGCTTCAATGACACCCAAATACATCCCTCAAAAACTATAATTTCACCCTTTTATGGAATGGCAAGAAACGTTGGGTTCTCTTTTTTTTCTTGTTTTCTTTGTATTTTTACCTTCCAAAATCTACCTTCTACTCTTCTGAGCCCACAAACGACGTGTTCCTAAATAGCACTCTAGAAATTTAAAAATAAAAAAAAAAAATCACACTACTCTTTTCCTATCCAATTGTTTTATTTTTTTCTTTCCTTTAAAATACCGACATTGAACAATGTCAACCTGCGGTGCTGGGGATTTAGCTCAGCGGCATAAGCGCCTTCCTTGCAAGTGTGCGGTCGTAAGTTCGATCCCTGGTACAGATAAAAACGAAAAAGACAAAAAAAAAAAAAAAGTCAACTTGCAATGTCCAGTATCTAATCAAAATTTCTGGACATGAAAGAAAGCATGAAAATGTGACCCATAATTAGGAAAAAATGAAATAGAAAACTGATTGAAAAATCAGCAAGACACAGAAGCTTCTGACAGATGGTGGTACTGCGCCAGGTTGGGTGTTTTCTTACACTATATTTCCTGTAAAGCACAGCACTCCTAGATTTCACAGGATCTAAAAGCTGAAGGCCTCAACTTCTCAGGCTTTAGAGATTGCTCACCAGGTCGCCATAATTGGCCAGGTTCTGATTTTTAGTTGTCTGGAAATCTGGGCGACACATCCGTCTGCACTGCTGCCCTCCTTCCTTGTGCTACCCAAGCAGGTCTGAAACAGTCCGGCCGCTTTTGAGAGGAGCCACCTGAACTTGACTCTACCGCTGAGGTCAGCAAACCCCGCTCCCCGCGCGCCTCCCGCCGCCGATCCCCGCCCTTTCGCGGCTCCGCCCGCCCCCGCGCGGCTCCGCCCCTCCTCCGGCTCCGCCCCCCGAGCGGCTCCCCCGCCCCGCGCGGTTCCCGCCCCTCCCCCACGAGGCTCCGCCCCTCCTCCGGCTCCGCCCTCGAGCGGCTCCTCCGCCCCACGCGGTTCCCGCCCCTCCCCCGCGCGGCTCCGCCCCCCAGCGCGGCTCCTCCCCCCGCTCCCTCCCTCTGGCTTCCCCCCCACCCCGCGCGGCTCCGCCCGCCCACGCCACCGCCTTGTCCGCGCGCGCCCGTAGGTCGAAACCGAGGCGCAGAGAAGGCCGGCCGGCTATGCCTTCCGCGCGCCCGCAGCCTCCGGGGAGCAGCCGGGTGCTTGGGGTGCCGCGCCGGGAGGCCGGGGCCTAGCGTCGCCTCGCCCAGCGCCCACCGCGGCCGCCATGGCCTGCGCCGCCCGGGAGCGCTCGGGACACCGGGCGTTGCGCGGGCTGCTGCTGCTCTGCTTGTGGCTGCCGAGCGGCCGCGCGTCTGGTCCGCCGCTGTCCGAGCTGCACGCGCAGCTGTCGGGCGTGCAGCAGCTGCTAGAGGACTTCCGCCGGCAGCTGCAGCGGGAGACGCCGGCCGAGGACCTGGAGCTCGAGCTGCGAGCCGGCGGCGGCCCGCGGGAGGGCTGCCCAGGCGCGGGCGGCGACGGCTACAGCGCGCTCCCTGACGCCATCATCCGCACCAAGGACTCCCTGGCGGCGGGCGCCAGCTTCTTGCGGGCGCCGGCGGCGGTGCGGGACTGGCGACAGTGCGTGGCGGCCTGCTGCGCTGAGCCGCGCTGCTCCGTGGCGGTGGTCGAGCTGCCTCCGCGGCCCGCAGGCCCGGCCGCCACGCTCGGCTGCTTCCTTTTCAACTGCACAGCCCGCGGCCGCAGCGTCTGCAAGTTCGCGCCGCATCGCGGTTACCGGAGCTACCGCCTCCGCCGGACGCCGGATGCTGGGCCCAGTAGCCTGGGACCCGGCGCCCCCGTGCCGGCCACTGCAGGGGCCTCGACAGAGCTGGGTAAGCGCACTCGCGCCGGCCCGCGAGAGTCACCCCACCAGTCCACAAGAATCTCCCTGTCGAGCTCGAAAGATTTCCACTGTCCTTGCACTTATCAGATGAAGACCCTTCTGGACAGAACCGCTGGTCCCCTCGCTCCTTCAAGTTATTTGAGCTGCAGATGGTCAGGAAAATGGCTTAGGAATGATGTTTGAAAACCCCGGTAGTTTGACAGGAGTGGCTGCTGCTGGAATTTTTCTAGGGCCAGGTTAGGCAGTGATCTGAGACACTGACAGAAAGTGGGTGTCTATCCCCTTGCCAGAAAGATTTTTAAGAGAAAGAGAAAAGCTCAGAGAAAAATAATACACAGCTTCAGTTTTATAATGCATAGTTATTGTCAGGTAATTGCAGGAGCAAAATCTAATTAGATGTGAAATTGCTGCTAACACCCACTTCTGTCTCTTGTCTTGGCAAGAGATGTGACAGTTCATGATTCTGCCCCTGATTTGGCTTCATCAGGCAGAAAGGAAATACTCCTTCCATTTGGTAAAAAGTGAAAAGAAGGGACTTGATTTTGGATGAAAATAAAAAGCTTGAGGCATGTCTCTTTTTAGAAGAGCTAAAAATAATGAAAATTGTATGATTTTACCTTCTGCAGGTGCTGTGAGTCAGGAGACAGGAGGCACAAAAAATTCTAACAGTTGGAAATTAAAGTCACTGAATGAGACCCCTGACTGAGCCCCCTTGTGGTCAAACTCAGTGCGTTTCATCACACTGGGGATGCTTGATTTATCATGACATGAATGACATCATTAGATCAGAAAGCAAGATAATCTCAGTCATTTCTAGCATCTGGATTCTCCTTGAGGATCCACAAAGACGAGTCAGGAAATCGGTGTCCATGACACCCAGCCTCCCTCTCCTACTTCCAGCTGAGTGAAGCTCACACAGTAAAAGGCCGCCCTGCAACAGCTTTAGGCCAAACACTGGGAAAGACCCGTGGGTTGCTCTCTGAAGCGGGGGCAAACAGTTCTTGCACTTGGAGCCCCCACCTCCACCCAGACACCCTGAGCCCTGCCCCATGGTCACAGTATGAGCCTTCCTCTCTACCCAAATGGGAACCAGAGTTCCCCAGCAGCAAAGAAGCAAGTCTTCCCTTTGTTCTCACTACTCAAGTGGAAGAAACTAACATTGCCAGAGAGAGCTTTCCTGTAAACCAAGAGACAGTGAAATAGGGAAAGAGCATAGCTTGGAAAACTAAAGACAAGATCAAGTTTAGGTTACTAGAAGTTTTCCAGTCCCTTTTTCTCCAACTTCCATCTTTGTCCTTCCATTCTGTAAGGAGAGTTTGTCTTGGGAATTATATTTTGTACATATCTTGAGATTAAGTATAGGCTACTGCTGGCAATGGTCTTCCTTTGTGAGAAAACAGCTTGGTTTGTTTAAGGTGCCTGGCAAATGCTTGAAGGGGCAGCCCCAGGGCAGAGGCGCCCACCAACTTAATCTGCATGAAGAGTAAAGGATATTTATTTTCCTATGTTCTGGGTTTCCCTTGCCTAGATGTTTAACCTATCAGAATTCTTTAGGCTTTTAAGACTAAGTTTTACCTTCTTGAGTTCTTTTTATCCTGAATCTTGTGGCCATGTGGAGTAGAGGCTCAGTGAGAATGAAAATGTTTTTTAGAGAAGTTGTTACCAGGTCCAAATAAAGGATCACAAAGAACTAGGGCAAGATCAGGTGGGATGCACTAGCACAAATTTAAGACTGAGCCCATCAGCCTGTTTATTTTTCACATTGAAAGTAGTTTGGTGTGAGAAGCTGTTTTAAGTACTATCTATACATGAACTCATCTGTTCTCACACCAGCCTGGAGATGCAGGTTCTGTTTTAATTCCTAGTATTCAGGAAGGCTTATAGAGAGAAAGCCACTCATCTGAAGGCCACACAGCAAGTGGGTTTGTGGAGCTGAGTCATAGAGCAGCTCTTGTGCTTTCTGTATCAGCTCCTGCCAAACTGCAGCCCCTGGGTTGGGATGGACTGGTGGCTATGGCGGGTGGTGGGAAACTGCAGGAGTGAATGGAGGTGCTAGAGAGGTGCTGAGTGGATGAACTGATTGAACCTGCCTGCTGCAGCATACAGGGTGCAGAACAGGGTGCTTAGGAGTACTAAGCTCTGGGTATCAGACCTGTGTCTTCCCCTGACAAAGCCTTGCTAATGCCCTTGGGACTCGAGTGCCTGGTTGCCTCCCAGCACAAGTTGTCGTGAGGATCAAGTGGCCATGCCTTGTGAGGGCAGCACACATGCCCATGGGATTGTTGTAGGACCCTGGTTGGGTAGTGTAGCTGCTGGGAGATGTGATAAAAGTGAGGCACACTGGGATGAAGTAGAAGGTGGAAGCCAGGGCGGTGAAGATCCTGGTGAAGCCATGAATTTAACCTCTCAGAGCTCAGGGACCGAACTTTCATGCTGTTTCCATGAATAGCCTGAAATCCAGCATATCCAGGGAGAATTTGGGAAGTCAACCCTTCTGTGTTAAAGAAAATCAAAGCCTTTAAGTTCTGCTCTCCCCTCAGATCACCTGGCCCCACCTGCAGCCTTTCATCTGCTCCAAGTGCAAAGGTCGGACTGAACCTTTGAGGCCAGGTAAAGGCTAATCCTTCCCCAGCTGCCTGACCAACATCCTCTTTACTTTCTCACATTTTCCTCTTCTCCCCTTTATGTAGCAAATAAACAATTATTTAATAAATAACAATAAAACTGGTTGGCAGTGTAGAAGGAAATACATTTAGACCTACAGTTCTGACCATACACAAATTGCAGGCACATTAAACAATCCAATTTTTAAAAAATTAAGCCCCAGTTTACTCCATAGGTAGGAAAACTGGAAAAATAAACCTACTCTTACATACTATATCTGTTGTGGTTTTTTGTTTTGTTTTTGGTACTCGAACTCAAACTCAGGACCTTGCACTTCACAGGCAGGCACTTAGGCCACTGAGCTATATCCCCGGCCCCTATATCTGGAAAGAAGATAGCTTTCTAATCCATTTAAGAGCTTAGGAAGCAAATAGTATTCAAATATATATGTATATATTGCCTCCTTGCCTTCCAGCACAGGTTGTCATGAGGATCAAGGTCGCCATGCTTTATGTATGTATAGACTTCATGTCAAGAAACAAAAGGAATTGCAAAAAACAGTCTGGTAAAACATGAAATAATACAGGTCAGAAAAACACAAACAAATGTCCATGGTACATGAGCAAATAGTTCCCAAAGAGAAAGTGGTTGATGAAACACGAAACAATGTTCAATGTAGAAGTAATCAAAGCAGTGTAAATAATGGGTCCTACCAGTCTGGGTGACGACGTGCAGGCTCGATTCCACGTACCTGTGGCGCCCCTGGTAGTGTTCGAATGCTGACACGTCCCACCGAACAGTGAAGAAGGTAAACAAGTTGGTGGCCCCTGGGCAGCCTGCCTAGGGTGGGGATTGGAGGTGGGGAATCCCGCCCTGCTGCTGCTTCGGGGAATCCCGCCACTGCTTCTGCCTTTGGCTTCTGCTTGGATGTACTGGGTAGGAGGGGCAGTTGTCCACTCATGGGTGGGTCAGCTGTGCTCAGCTGGAGAACACATTTTCTATGCTTATACAAAGCCAGGAAAGCGATTTGAGGATGCAGTAAACAGGATGATTATAAAGAATGGCTCCACTGCACCCTGGAAGTTAGAAAGGAAGGACAGGATTTTTTTTTCAAACTTGTAAAATATTTTACGTATTTAAATTCACTTACCATTTCAACAGCTTACTCTTGTTTTCCCCAGATTTTTAAAAAATTTTTTTTTATTTAAAGAGAAAAAAATGAAAACAAAGGATAGAAATAATACAGAATTTCAAAAAAATAAACAGAAATCACTAGCTGATAGATTACATATTGTCATCTTAGAAATAGTTGTTCAAGTTACAAAATTAAAGCATACAAAGTTGAAATAGTGAAACTGCAAACAGTTCTGTTCAACCATCCAACAAAACTTAGTAGTATGGTTATCTGTCTTACACACTTAAACATACACACAGTTATATCCTTTAGAGCACTTTCTTTTCCTCTCTTTTATAATCACAATTACACATTTTGGGTGGAAGGACACGATTTTCTCAAAACTAGGATTTGGAGATTACATCAACCTGTGCAGTTACCAGTGCTTTCTGTGTTCTGTGATCATCAGTGTGATTTGCAAGAACTTTCTTAACCAATGAAATGAGCCTGGAGTGTGGAAAAAAATAACTTTGTTGTTGTTGTTGTTGTTGTTGAAAGTAATGACCTTTATATTGGCTTGGGATTGGTTCTGAGCTTTAGCATTTTCACTGGAAGGAGTTTCATTTTGAAAAAGAAAGCTGTCTGTGACTTGCCTAGAAAAGGTCTATGAGAGCAGGCCACAGTGGCCAAGCATAGCCTAAAGAATGGTGTGTGGGCTGGACTGCTGACAATGGGAGCTGGCGAGGTGGCCAACTTTACTGCACCTTTGCCCTAGCTATGCTGGTGACCCCATTGGGAGCTCTCAGTGTCCCTGTAAGCGCTGTTCTTTCTTCATCTTTTGCAAATGAAAGACTCCAACCTTCTTGGGAAAATTGAGTGTTTTCTAAGTCTTTTAGGATCTACAGTGGTGGTCATCCATGCCCCGAAAGAGGAAGAGAAGAGACAGAGACCTTGAATGAAACGTCTTACAAGTTAGATCCAGGCTTTGCGGTCTTTGTGACACTTGTGATCATTGTGTCTTTGATATTAATCTGCATGGTGGGGCCTTGCCATGGGCAGACTGACATCCTGTTGTACAATACCATCTGCTCCATCATTGGCGCATTCTTAGTCTCCAAATGCTCAAAGGGACTGACTGGGCATGGCCATCAAGGAGCCGTTGGTGGGTAGCCCTGTGCAGTAGTACCCACTGGCCAGGATCTGGCTGCTCAGCTTAATGGTCTGCGTGAGTATGCAGTCAACCACCTGATTCGGGCACTGGCCACATTCAA